AATCAATCTTATGAACACAATATTGTAAATTCCCCTCAGACATTTCTGAGTGACTAAATTAAGCCTAAGTGTATATGTGCATGATAAATCTTTCTATATTGAACAATGCTATCTTACATGTATACAAACATACACAAAATCACACATGCACAAACATACAAACCTTTGCCAATACTCATCACAAAATTTTAATGACAAGGAAAGTAAGTAAAGAAAATAATATACTTTAAGCAACTCTGGAATTTCAGCCTTTTTGGCATCAATAAGTTCTTTAGCAAAGAAATTAAGATTCCAGAGGGTGAGGAACATAATTGCCCAACAAGGATATATAATGTATGGTATCATGATAATATAACTATTAATCATATGTTAACTGAAATAATCTTCCAGGTTAAAGAAAAAACAATTCAAATGTATAAAACTTTATCACATAGAAACATCCTTTAACATTTTGAAACACACCCATGCAAGTTTGACTAGAAGTGCTGAAATAAGAAGTACAAAGCTCAGTATGATATATCTCTCCTGCTTAGCAAGATCTTCCTTCAGCTGATTCCTCTGGGTACTGTCGAGGGTGTCTTTTGCATTTTCAATTAAACCCGACACCTTGCCCTTTGGTAGAGGTTCCGATATGGCTGGAGATACAGGTTTCGATGCTTCACAAGGCCGCCCCTTCATGTAGTGTTTGCCAGTTTCAATGATCTCAACTTCAACCATTTTACCCATGAAGTCACTGTGTTTGGGCACTAGTACCTTTGAAGAAAAAAAGAAATAACTAAACATATATTCTTAAAAATGAGGTGATCAATATGAGATATAAATACCAACTCTAAAATGAACTAAATAAAAGCACACTTATTATAAGACAAAAAGCAATATGAATTGTTTTCATTGTGACAAATGTAGAAAAGGTATGAATAAAAATGACTATCTTCACAATACGAGATATGTATTTGACTGGTTTTCACATAATTCTGAAGAAGATATATTTGAACCAGTCAAATACATCTCTTGTATTGTGAAGATATTTATAGTCATTCATACCTTTTAAACAAGAATCAATCTCATTTTTGCTAAAGTTTTACATTATTTTCACTTAAAAATTACAAATCTCCATTTCTATCCTTTATTTTTCTTACTACTTTATTATTTTAGTTATTTTCTATGAAAACATATTTTCCTCTAACAAAGAAATTTGATTACTACACATGAAACAAATAAAAGGTAAAAACAAAAGAAATCGTACCTGCTCGTAAAACTTATTGTGTCCAACCCAGTGTTCCTTATCATGAGCTTCTTCCGTCACTAGGACAGTCTGCTTTTCTCCCAATTTATGATCATATGGTCTATACGACTGGAATAACTCTGTCAGCTGTCTTGAGCGATTTTTCACCTGAAGAGTACAAGTATGCTGTGTAATGATGGGATAATAATGCATCTGGGTTTAAAGAGCTATTCTCAATTAAAAAGAATCTGAAGTGAAAAATGTCCTAAATATATTAATAAATATACAAAATGAAAATGCATATAGTATACATTAATACTGAAAAATAATGAAATATATTTTAACCCCATGTTGCCATGAAAATGTAGTATTCTTTATGTTTTGTGAAAAGTCTCTGCATATAGATGACTCCAAAAGAGCTTAGCCATAAAGGAATCAATTCTAGACCTTATGACCTCACCTGATTTAACCTTTTCTTAAGTTTGCAGGAAAAAAGTTTTATACTAATGCTATCAATATTGATGCAGTTATTACTATTATAGACACTATAATCATTTTATGGTTATTGACATTACTAACAGCAATATAAAATACCTGAAAATATTTACAAAAATCTAGGAAAAGGGTAAAAAGGTGAGATAGGTACTACTCGTGATTGGCTCATTGGCGACCTCATACTTATAGAGCCATCTGTGTGTAAAGACAATTAATAAACTAAACTCAGAGTGGACACGGTTTGTAAGTACTCAATGGGTTTAAGTTTCAAATAATTAATACTAGCACGTCAAACAGAAAACATAATTGTGGCTTAAAATAAAAAAGACTACATTCAACAGCAAATCATAAGCACTAAAAACAAAAAAGGAAATTTAAAAATCTCAAAATCTTAGTAAAGAGAAAGTAATATTTGTGAAGCCAATAATTTCAGCTGATAAGTTATTTTCAAGTGCAAGTAAGAATATGCAGTGGCCAAGTTTGTCTAATACCACATACAGTAACCATGAAGAGGAAGGGGAAGAGGAGCAAAAATGGTGAAAGAGTATACAGCAATATCAGGTAAACTTCAGAAAAAGATGTCAGAGGGATCAGGAGGTGAATGAGCACGGTACTATAGTTCTAAATGCCTTCTCAAAAAGGAATGGAATAAATATATAAAATTATCTGACTATAAACCATTAGAGTTGTATTTTTGTTGATGACAATATCCTAATCCCAGACTTTTTTAATATCTATTACAATGGACTTGAGACATAGCCAGAGTAATGAACTAGAGCC